GGAGTATTGTACAAGCCTTTAAATATGAGGATTGAGAAAAAACTCCCATGGTTTAAACATTTAAAAATGTCATCCTTGATCCACATCTCCATCACCTGACTGTGACAGGGAGACACCCTGATGTAGACCCACCACAGAATCATTGCAGAACTAGTAACAACTCCTGGTAAGAAAAGACTCACTAGTGCAAATATTTAGCTATCTGGATCTTCCGAGCTGGTCCAGCACTTCCTAAACAGCCTGGCTGAAATGACCTGTCAGCCAGCACATTCTTTCTCTCAATGAGGACCAACCGGAGCCTTGTTTTTGTTGGTATGACCCAACCCCAACGAGCCCGTCCTCTGCACAACCCCACCACTCTCCCCGCCCTCCACCCACTGATGTCTGTTTGACAGAGTAAAACATTCCACTCCAGACACCGATTCAACGTCGGAGTTGTGTACTTAAACAAAAACAAAAAACTGACTCACTCGAGTCCAACTGCTGTGTAATGTGATCTGGGAACTGAATTTGAGGTGGCTGACAGACAGCAGACAGAGGGGTTGCCACGGGCCACAGACTGATCCCTGGGTACAGAGCTGGTATCTGCTGGCATGGACTCCACTTGACCCTCCAGGACCAAAGACTTATTTATAGAGGACTACATCTCTGTGTGTCTGTTTATCTTTCTGTGTGTGCACATGTGTCACGTGTGTGCATGTTGCCTTATCAGTGCTGTGAAGGATTCATCAGGAGTGGCATTTTCTGCCATTCGGTGTTCAAAACAAACACACAGCTGTATGTGCTATCGCCACTCTGTGGGATGTTGAAAGGCCTGACTTATGCGACTTGTCAGTAAGAAATTATGCTATCGTCATGCTAACCCATTGATTCGCTACATTGGCTTCTTTATTATTTTTTTTCTCGCAATAAGTAATTCGCTCAAACAAACCTTTCTTTCTTCCTCGCCCGATTCCAAAAGCTGAATCAACAAAGGGGCACCAACAGCTACATGGTCCTGCTTGCTTTTAACACCCCAGGGACCCTCAGTAGGTTGTGATCAAATGTTGTTCTAGGGTTCTGAAGGGGTCTGGACGTGTATTTTTTGTTGCATTTTTTTCCTGTTCTCTGGTGTGATTGTGTGTATTAAACCCCAGCACACCTTTCCAGGCTGTATGGGTTTGGAAACCTTGGTCATGACTGAGAGTAATCGGATAGTGGATGCTGTTGATTCATCTAACAGGATTGGGAAATGTGGAAAACGACCACCTTTGCTTCATTGGTTGTGGCAGTTTTCTTTCCCTAGATGTAGCCTGGGTTTGGATATTGTGGATGGGGGAAATGAAAGAGACAACCTCACTTATGATAGAGTGCCAGTGCAGATTTTAAGTTATGTTTTTCAGGCTTAATTACTTAGTTAGCCATCTATTTGGAGTGATTTTATTATATTTTATTATAATATAAAAACAGTTCATCAAATAAATAAATAATAACAATAAATATATAAATAAAAATAATTTAAAAATCTGTGCAATTATCTATGCAATTTAAAGAACATTTCATCTACATAAATATAGACACTGAGACTTGAAATATTATGACGATTCCTCTGAAGGACTAACAGACCTCTGAAAGTGGTCCATGATGTCAGACACCAAGATTTTTAGCTGCAGTTCCTTTCTGGAAACTGTGAGATGCTGATAATATAATAATTCCAACTAACTCTCTTATGGGATCCTCCTCAAGCTTTAAGTGTCTGGACAATACCTCAGACTGTTTCCTTAATGGTCCTTGTATTTATAATTTTTCTTTAGCACTTTGTTAAATAAATCCGTGCTCTTTTTTTTCTTTTTTCCAAAAATGAAGGTTATTGTAGATAAGATACAGTCCACAATCTCTTTTGTGTTTCTTACCATTTTAATTTGTGAAGTCCAGAGGATATGCTTATTGAATAAAGACTGGATGCTAAGAAGACAAAACACTGGCAAGTGTGAGCTGAAGCTGGAGTCCAAGTTAGTGAAATTACATCAATATTTTTAAAGATTATTGCCTATTCCTTTCCTTATTGTGTTTGTCTTGCCTGTTTCCTTGTAATGAGATGAAATATGGCAGAGAAATACTTTTTGACAGTAGCACATTTGTTGTGAGGTAAAAGAAAAAGAAAACAAAGCTTTAGATGTGATCTGGGATCTTTCAAGCTGCTTTTATCTAACTTGATCATTATTAATCTAGATGCCCCATATCTCACATAGGCCAAAATGTGTCCTTTGCATTGTATTTTATCTTACGATACTAACTCTTCAAAGTTACAGTAATTTGTCTCAGAGGTAGTATAAACAGCTTTGCATGACCAAAAAACCTTCTATAAAAACAGTATTTTACTGTAAGTATGTCTAAATCAAGACCCTGCAGCTCAGCTTTAAGATGCAAAGCCTGCACATAACTACTAAAAACAAGAGAAATCTTAATGTGGAGCGCTGACTTTGTAAATGCAGAGATCGGGAAAAAACCTGTTCGTTACCTGTTGACATACTGTACATGGTAAGATAGTCAGCGCATGCAAGAACAACGTCTCTAAACAGTCCACAAACTTTATGGGATCTCAACATTTTTTTGTTTGAGCTTTTACATGCAACAGGACTTTATTTCATCGTAGCACAGACAGCTTTAAGACACAAAACGCTCACATATCTTCTGATGATCACGCTGTGTACGGTCACAGTGTTCAGTATTTGCACACAGCACTGTCTTTGGATTTACTCAGTTTAAATCACAGCAGCTAATTAGAAATTATACACACTTCAAATCCAAATCCTATTGCAATCCATTCTATTGCAGTTATAGTTGTTACTTTTTCCATGTGGCATTTGGTTGAATGTTATAATTTAATTTGCTGTATCTAGCAGATTGAGTCTAGTAGTCAGGAATAACCATAAGAAAGATAACATTTAGAGTTCAGCACAACACACCGCTACAACCACAGCGAGAACTGACTCAGTGCATGAACTTGGTGGGTGAGACGAATGGTGTGTCACACTGACCAGAGGTGTCACTTTATGTCTCCCCCCCTCCACACACACATCCGCAGCGAAGTATGATGTCATTGGCTGCCTGTCTGCTAAGCGGTGGACCAGCGCCATGATCACAAGCTGCACGACTCAAAGGCTCCACACGAGCCGAGAGAACGAGGAGGAGATGAGGGGGAGGGAGGAAGAGTAAACAGCAGGAAAGGAGAGGAGAGACAACTCCACAGTGTCCTAGACCACAAAGAAATGATGCAGAAACACTGCCAGCGATTCCTCCTTAACCCAGTGTCTGATATCATTTGACTTTTTGAAATTTACACTTGTAGTACAGCACCTATCAGCATAACAAGTGCTATGTAAAGGGCAGTGCAGACAGAGACTGGAGGAGGGGTTAAAATTAATGATGTAACCCATTAGTTTTGCTTTGTACAATACATTTCTGTTGACCTTTTGAATCAAGAAACAAAGCCAGAAAGAGACGATGATTCTGTTTTTTGGCAAATATTTCTGCAGTCAAGAATGAACTATGAAGCTGAACTTCTGTTGCCAGTATACAGTAAAAACAACCAAGTATTTGTATGGAGCCGTGGAAATGCCTATAAAGAGGTTAAAAAAAGAAGCACAATAAAGCATGTAAAACGAAGAAGTGACACTGTACAGTAATCACCTGTCAGAGATACAGCCCCAAGATCTCAACAGAACAGTGAGGAATGGGAGATGTGACAGCAGAACTAAGTGAAAGTGACCAAAAATCACATTATTACTGAATTTGCAAAAAAACAACACATCTGTCTTTAAAAGACTATGTAGTAAACCACTTCTCTGGAGGGGAAACAACACAAATCATAGCCTGTATGATGTAAAAGATGTCACTGTGACAGCCACCATTATTTTTATGAATGGGTTCAATTTTTGCAAAACTACTCTTAACATACTATCTGATGGGATAATTTGTTTTCATACACTGTATTTCCAAAAGTCTTCACTCACCTATTCAAATCATTTAATTCAGGTGTTCCAATCACTTCCCTGGTCACATATGTGTGACATCAAGCACCTGCTTCTACACACAAATAATCCCAGGAGAATGGTACGTATTTGATTGCACTACGCCAAATGTAACGTTTGATGTGGAGTAAGTCAGCCCCTTAGCTTCAGCACACAAAGAGATTTTGGACAATTTAACGCTCCCTACTCTGTGGGAACAGTTTCTTTGTGGGAACACCAGCGCACAAAGCAAGGCCCATAAAATCTTGTGAGTGAATTTGACCTTTGACCTTTGACCTTGAGCTTTTATGTTAAACCTCTGAGGTCTACCCATAACCTTAGCCTAGCCCTATATTTTGGAGATATATTTTGGCAAACACTGACTTTTTGGGAGGTTTTTAATGTTTTTTTAAGCGTGTCAATTATTTTTGTTGTTTTTCTCAGGAGAAAAACTTAATAAAACAAAAATTCAGTATTATGTAGCTCTAAGGGGTCAACATCAATGATAACTTAAACAGAAGCCTTCTTTTAGTCATATGTTATTGTTATTGTATCTTTATTTTTACCAGTTATTTATAAATAACTGGTTTTGGTTTAGAGTTAATTCACATATCCACATAACACTGCATTCTAAAATAAGTGCGCACATTTTAGTTTACACTGTTATGTATGATTAATTTTTTGTTTTCTGAGTTACCTTAGTTGCAGCTGTTCCAGTCCCTTGATTAAGGAGCCAAGAGGTGGAAAAGGGGTGGAGCGCGCTTTAAAGGAAGACTACAAATTGGTTCACGCCATAACTCAGGACCATGGGGGGGAATTGGAGTTCATTATGTTTGGTTTAGTTAGGTTTTGTGTGTTTTAGCCCTTCTCCTGTTTTTGTGGGCTGATCAGCCACTATTTAAGTTTCCCCTTTGTCTTGTTAAGTTAGGTCAGTTTGTTTGAATTATCAGTTGAGTTGTCAACTTTGAGTAGAGTTTTGTTATTTTGACCTCTTTTATGGGCCCAAGATTTTGATTCTTTTTGCATGAGTTAACAATTATGTTTTTTGGGTTAAATAAAAAATCATTTTTTTGGACTTTAACCTGTGCCTAAGTTTCCTTCACTGCTCGGTCCATCACAAGTGGTGTCAGGAGTGGGATCAGCAGTTGAAGGCACAGGATTTTTTTTTCTCTTTTTTTCCCCTCTTCACTTATCAAGCCATGCACAGAATGGGAAGGAGTGGCAGAGGAGCAAAAGGAGATTGTCAAAACCAGCCAGTTGGAGTGGTAGAGCAAGTAGAAGGAGGAGAGGAAAATGGAGCCTCTGGAGGGGTGGATAGTACTGAGAGCCAAGGTAAGGAGCCGACAATGTCAGAACTGATTTCCATGCTTCGTTCTCATATGGGTCAGCAGGAGGCCCAGGAAGCAAGAAGAAGGGAGGAGTTTACCCGCCAGGAACAGCGCTTTAGAGCACTGCAACATCAGTTTCAGCTGTTGCAGGTAGAAGTGCAAGCTCGTACCTCCCCGGTCCCTGAGCCTCAAATGGAGGTCTCTGAGCCTCAAATGGAGGAACCTGAACAACCAGAGGTAGAGTCCTTTGAAGAGGAGGATCCTCCCTGTGCTGGCTCCAGTAATGAGCAAATACATCCTCAGTCAGGTCAGTCTCGCTTTTATGAACCCAGGCTGGAAAAATTGACAGAGGAGGATGATATTGAACATTTTTTAACAACATTTGAACGCATGGCTGTAGTTTGCCGGTGGCAAAAAATGGACTGGGTTTTTCATCTGATTCCTTTACTCACTGGCAAAGCAAGAGGTGCGTATGTTCATATGGATATGGATGACTCTCTAGACTATGACAAAGTTAAAGCAGCTATTCTTCATAAATATGACATTAATCATGAGACATACAGACTGAGATTCTGTTCACTGGAGGTAAAACCTGATGAGAATCCAAAAGAACTATATGCAAGATTGAAAGAGTTATATGAGAAGTGGGTAAAGCCAAAAGGAAAAACGGTGCATGAGGTTAGTGAAATATTAATTTTAGAACAATACTTGAGAATGCTGTCTCCTGAGTTACAGATATGGATTAAAGAACGCAATCCAAACTCTGCAGCGGCAGCTGCAGAGCTGGCTGATGTGTTTGTGGCGGCACGGAGAAAAGGACAGCCATGGAGCCACACAGCATGGAAAATGAGAGATGGTTCAAAATCTGTCCCTCACTACCAGAAAGCAGGGGTGAGTAAACCTCCAAAGAGCCAGTCTGTCAATATGCCGTCAAGACCTCCACCCAAGACTGTGATTTGTTATTTGTGTGGGATGGAGGGCCACACAAAACCCATGTGCCCAAAGAATTCTACAAAAATAACTCAGATGTGTTTTGTGGAGCCTAAAGTGGAGTTTGAGAATGGTTTCAAAATGACCTTAGTTGAGGTTGATGGGAAACCATTAAAGGCCCTTGTTGACTCAGGAAGTACTCAGACTCTTGTGCACCGAGACTTTGTTCCCGCAAATAAAGTTAATAATGTGGAGACAATCCCTGTTCGCTGCATTCATGGAGATGAGAGGTCATATCCAACAGCAGATCTGTACATCAAGGTACAAGGACAAACGTATATTCTAAATATTGGTGTTGCAGAGAATCTGCCATTTCCAGTAGTGCTGGGTCGAGATCTGCCTGTGTTGTTTGACTTGCTGAATCCTAGTTATACATGCAATGTTGCAGTAACAAGAGCTCAAGCTAAGAAGAAAGAGGAGTCCCTACACCCACTCCGTGCCTTGCCCTTCTATGATGCGGACATAGAGACTGCACCCGGGAAGTCTCGTAAGTCACGTGGACAGAGAAGGCAAGAGAAGTTTCTACATACTGCTGTTCAAGCAGCTCCTAGCACAGAGCCTGAGTTACCTTTGGGTTTTAAAATCCCTGTTAATATTATTGAAATGCAACATGACGATCCATCTCTAACATCTCTGTTCCAGAAAGCTGCAGAGAGGAACCAAGGAACTAAGCAAGATTTGAACAGCAGGGGGGAGTTTCTGCTGAAAGATGGCATTCTGTATCGTCAGCAGGGTTCAGCATTGCAGTTGGTGGTTCCTAGAGCAGTCCAGAAGGTGGTGCTCTCCTTGGGACACTCCATTCCATGGGCTGGCCACTTGGGAAAGCA